GTGGTGCTGGTGGTGCTGGTGGTGAAGCACCACGGCTCACAGGCGGGAGTCCTGGGAGGTTTTGTTCTGCTCTTTGGGGTTGCTTGGTCTTCGGTCTTTTTCCTTTGGGAGGGTGCCGCCGCGCATGCCATGGCCGACGATGAGCCTAGGCTGGCTCCTGCTGGTCCTCCTCCTCCACCAGGTGCTGGGGAAGCACCACAGCTCAGCGACTCCGAGCCCGAAGCAGCCTCTAGCACAGACTCCTCATCGACCCCACCACCGCGGCGGGCTAAGCGAGAACTTATGGAGGTCTTCGGGGAGCTGGAGAAGCGCCAGCGAGCAAATGACTTGGAGCACATGGAGCTACAGCAGATCGCCGATCTGGGTCGCCGAGTGTTCCGGGGCAGACAGCTCCAGGAATGGCAGCAGGCCCTGGAAGAGCAGCCCAGGTGGATCTGGAATGCAGAAGAGCCGGTTTCCGATGATGGAGCTGGCCTGGAAAACCTGGAGCTCGCGGAGGACACCTTGCGAGCCCTGCAGCGGTATCTGTCGCGCATCTGGAGGGACTAAGTGTCGCTTGCACACCCAGACCTCACCTTCCGACAGCTGGGAGGTCGACAGGCAGCTTTCACAAAGAGCCTTCGTAATACTACATGGCAGGAGACAATGCAGGCCGCACACAGGAGTCTACAGGCTCATGGTTGGAAGCAGTGGCTGGAACAGGTCCGTGCCACACAGGCAGCATCGAGCGCAGCGCTTCCAGTGGCCGACACCAGGACTCCCAGCCCTAAAACTCTACCTTCTTAGCCGATGGTCCCCTAAATGTTTCCCTAGGCCTCCTCAAGCACCCCACACCAGGAGGCAGCGAGGTGCCGCGCTCACCAGGGCACCTGTAGGTGCCAGCAACACGGTAGCCGCAAACCCCTCCCATAGAGTAGGCCTTTTCAACCCTACCTTAGCCCCCATGCTGGCAGGTACACGTGTCGCTCGGGACTGCCCTGGGCATCCTGCTGCAAGCGGCGACCGCCAAGGACCAACACCGTGTTTGCACACCCCTAGGCCCCTAAGGCCCCGCCCCCCAAATAAGAACCTCACCTCCAGGCACGTGCACACACACAGTCAACACAGTGCACCAGCTGATACCCATGCAGGGCATCACATCCAGCCGAACAGCCGGCCTGGTCCCAAGTCCAGGCGCCATGGCCTCTTACACTTCCTTAGTCGATGGGGATATAGGGTCATGGTTGGTGCGAGGGTTGCCTCCATTACCACGGTGGAGGCGGGACCCAGTTCTCCGGAGCTGGGGAAGCTTCGTGGACCGGTGCTGAGCATGTCACGCACAGATTTGATCAATCCCAGAGTTGCAGAGAAAAGAGCTTTCAGGCGTGCCAGACAGCGAGCTGGCCGTATGGGTGGAACATGGTATCGAGGTAGGTGGCATACAGCTGCTAGTCTCCAGGCCCTTCCCTACAAGCCCAAACCCACTGCTCCCAGGACAGTTCGACAGCAGCAGCGTGCCTCCCAGGCACATTTTCCACAGGTGCGCAGCTTAAGCTGGAATGCAGGGGGACTCACTTCCGCGGTTTACCAGGAATTCCTAGCATGGCTCGAAACTCAGGGCACGTACCAGATTGCGATCTTGCAAGAAACACACTGGCCCAATAGTTGTGATTATGTTTCTGGGGGTTGGTTCTGCATACACAGTGCTGGAGATCACCAACATGGCCACGACAGGTATGCTGGCTTACTGATCATGCTGTCAAAGCATCATTTCAAGGACCCCGTTGTGCATGAAGTGCAGCCAGGCCGTGTGCTACATGTCAGGGCTTGTCACAAGCAAGCAGACACAGCGATCGATGTTGTGGCGATCTACCAACACGTCTGGCGCACCCAACTCAGCACCCAGGAGAATCGTGACATTCGGGGTGTGGTGTGGGATGCCATTGATCACATGCTTGCAAGCATTCCGCTGCGCAACATCCTTCATATGAGCGGCGATTTTAATTCATGCCTAGCACCCAGCCCCCCATGCGTAGGACCGGCGGCCACGCGCACTGCTGAAGCTAATGCTGACTCTGACTCTCGTTTTGAGCAGATCATACACGAGCATCACTTATGCGCATTGAATACATGGCACGCAAAACCGTCGTACACATTCCAGGGCCCTAAGGGCTGCAGCCAAATTGATTTCATCCTCACTCGGAGGAATACGGCAGGGGGAATCAGCAAGCAGGCCCGCCCACTGACACATTTTCCTGTCTCAGCCTGGCGGGCCAGTGGACACCACCCGATACAGGCGCAGCTGCCTGTCGCTCCTCCGCAAAGGCGAGCTGATTTTCACGGCCACCGCCTGGGACAATGCGATAAGGCTGCCTTGCTTCAGGCCGTGCACCTGCATGACCCCAAGGTGGATGAACTGCAGCAGGCAGTCCAGCGGGAGCTGCAAAAGGCCGACATTTCGGACCTCCATGCCTTACACCAGTGCATCAATACCACCTTGTGTCAGGTTGCCGCCAGGTTGTTCCCCACCAGACGTTCGCCAGACGCCCGTCTCAGCGCCCAGGTAGGTTTCCGTGCCTCTGCCCGTCACACATGGCAACTGTACGCCCAGTACAGGCGTGCCAGAGTTGCCACCCTTGGCCACATTGTTCAGAAGTGGAGGCTCGCAGTTCAATTCTTCCGTGCTTCCAGGGCACTGCGGGATCAGAGCCAAGCTCTCAAGCGCCAGGCTTTTCAAACCAAGTTGCTTCAGGCCGAGCAGGCAGCTGCCGCGGGGGACCAGCGAACTCTGCACCAGATTGTAAACTCGCTTGCTCCAAACCATCGCAAGGTTTTCTCGAGACTTCGGGGCCAAGATGGCAAGCTCCTATCCAAGCCGGAAGAGGCCAAGGCCCTGGTGGCACAGGGAGCTAGCACATATGCCCAGTACCCAGATTTGCCGGTCAAGGAACCCCTTAGCCAGCACCTGCACATTGAAGAAGCTGAGGTTGTGGGCCAACTGCGTGCTATCAAGGCCTCCAAGGCTGTCCCCAAACACATTGCTCCTGCTGTGATTTGGAAGATATGTGCATCCACCTTGGGCCCCCTTCTCGCTCGGGCCTTCAACCATCACTTTCAGGAGGGGCAGATGGGTCTCCTCCAAGGGGACCTAACGGACGCTAGCATGGTTATGCTGCCCAAGGTGGGAAAGCCTGCACATCTCCTTGAAAACCTCCGCCCCATAGGCTTGATGGCACCCCCCTCCAAATCCTTAGCTGGTATTCTGCGCGATAGGATGATGGAATGGCAACTCCCTCGCCTCCGGTTTAGACCCCAGTTTGCTTACACCCCAAACCGGGGCACTTTTGATGCATTGCTGCGGGTTCATAAGCATGTCGAGGATGCAATGGCCCTTTTCCGATCAAACCGGATCTCGCGCTTCGGCCAGCACGGTGGGCGCAAACCATTGCCTTTTGTCGGGGCCCTGAGCCTTTCCTTGGATCTCAGTAGAGCTTTTGACCTCACGGACCGTCAGATGCTCTTTCAAGCCCTTCCCCAATACGGAATCCCACCGGAGGTGGTGGAAGTAGCCCGCCGGCTCCACTATGGAGCCAAGTTCATCTACAAGGCCGGAGACTGTGAAGCTGACTTCACCCCCACAAACGGCCTAAAACAGGGTTGCAAAGTTGCTCCGTGTTTGTGGGTTTGGTATACCATCATCCTCATGGACTCTCTTGCAGGGCAGCTCAACGACCGTTGGGTGGAAGAGGTGCTCACGCTTTTCGCCGACGATTGCTGGGCTAGTTGGTTGCTCCATTCCAAGGACGACCTCCACCGTGCCCTGACAGAGCTCAGGATCCTGCTTTGCACCCTCGAGTCCTTTAGGATGAAGATCAACTACAGCAAAACGGCAGTATTGCTTAAGTTCGTTGGTCGCCAAGCCCGCCAAGCACTCCATGACATCACCAAGCTTCAAAATGGGATCAGGTATCTCTGTTTGGACGTCCAGGGGGTAGAAAGACTCATACCACTGAAGGAAGAGCATGAATACTTGGGTTCCAGGGTCAGTTACCATCGGCAACAGGAAGTCAATGTGACTCACCGTCTGCAAGCTAGCCAAGCACGCTATCAGGCACTACGGAAAGCCCTCACGGGCAGACATGCCATCCAGCAGGGCCACAGGCTGCGCTTGTGGCGAGCATGCATAAGCACCAGCATGTTGTATTCCCTCCCGGCTGTTGGGCTTAACGAGCCAGGCCTCCGACGACTGGAGGTCAGGGTCCTGCAACATCTGCGAGCCATCCTCAGGCTGCCGGCACACTTGACCATGGTTGAAAATGCCGAGATCTGGTCGAGGTCACAGATTCAACCGCCGGGCACATGTGTCCTGCAAGCCATGCTCTCAGCTTGTGGCAAGTTGGAGGACAAAGCACGCCGAGCACCGGATATCACCACCCGGCCGGAGCTCATGGATCACCTAAGGCACCTGATCAAGCAGCTGCACTTACTCCTGGAGGGCAGGGACACCGCGCGGGCCAAACCGACGCCGGAGGCTGACCAGACATCCTTCTCATGCCCGCACTGTAGCCATGTGTCGTCTTCTGATCACGCCCTCAGAATCCATGTTGGACTGCATCATCCCGAGCAGCAGAAATCCTGCGTGGGACAGGCGGTGACTTTCTCACCGGAACTTCATGCCATAGGTGGACTACCACACTGCCAATTGTGTGGCAGGAAATTTTCCAAGTGGCAATATCTCCGCCATCACATCGAGTCGGGAGCTTGTGGTCATCTGGGCGGCACCAGCTTCACCCTACAACCACGAGCTGAGGTAGAACTTCGTGAAACGCCTGAGCTGCAGCTTGCACCGCCCACTTTTGCACAGAAACCCGAGTTGCAAAACCAACCGTTGGTAGCCCGGCCTTTCTTTCAGCAATCGTGGCCAAGATGGGATGATTTACTCACACACGGGGCTCTCAGGCAAGAGCTGAAGCAACATTGTGTCATCTGTCACATGTGGGTCGCAGATTTTCAACACATCAAGCAGCATCTTCGCAGAGCGCACAATGCTGACTTTGAGAGCCTGCATCCTCTTGTCTTACAGAAGTGTCGCCCTTTTAAGAGCCAACTTGCTACCGGCCGATCGTGCATTTGGTGTGGCTTCAAAGTCTGGGCCCCAGGACGCCATTCCGAACAGTGTCCAGTGCTATATCAGCTTGCCCTAGCCGCGGCCTTTTGTGAAAGGCGTGCCTCCCACCATGACCTTGAGCTCGGACAGCAGCCAGGGCCTCAATCCGGAGGCGGACATCTTCAGGCACTGCTTGGCAGCAGCGCCGTTCCCAACCGGGGCGAAACAGGATCCGCCCAACAAACGCCGGCGCCCGAGCCCGCATCAGCAGCCACAGAGGGGATATCGAAGGTTCCCACGTCGTGGTTCTTCCGACCCAGAGGAGTCGGAGCTAGTCCTTGCACTGGCTCGGCTGGCATTGCGCCAGGAAACTCAACTTGCGGAGCTCCGCATGGACAAGGGGTTCGTGATGTTCTTCAAGCAGGATCAGATCAGCATCCTGCCGGGCCTCTATGCGGTATCCAAGGAGTTCAATGCCAAGCAGGCCGAAGGCCATCCGGAGCTGACCACACCACTGCGCACGCTCCTCCTGGCTTGCCTGATGCGACAGTTCCGGGAACGAGTGGTTCACATGATGGGGTCCCCAGAGGGCATCCACAAGCTGCAGACAGCGGGCTGGCTGACGACAGACCAGGTCTGGACACGGCAAAAGTGGTGCCGTCAGACAAAACGACTTGTGCCCGACCAGGAAGGACAGGGCATCCCACACGCGGACCTCCTCTCATCCATCGACTTCTTGCTCGTCAACCTCAAGGGGGACATCATCCACCAGTTCCACTCGACCACGAAGCTCAAGACCCTGGAGGGCGAGAATGCACAGGTCGCGACCTTTCTGATGTCCATCAGTCTTCGGGGCCAGCGAGCTTACGAAGTCCACCTGCACTTTCTCAACCTGATCGGAGCTTCGGCTCTTCAGCTCATCGGCCTCTCCCTGAAACGGGAGACACTTCAACGATCCCAGGCGGCACGCCACCTGGAATCCCTGCTGTACAAGCGGTGAGACGGGCACCAGGACGGGCCCATGCACTTGTGCCTCCTTTCACTCTGCGCAATGAGGGGACAGATTGCTATGCAAATGCTGTCATCTACTCCGCTTGGATTGCTGCGAGGCATACGAATCAAATGCACCGTCTACACTCAAGCCTCCGAAGCCTCACCGGTGCAGGGGTGCGAGCAAACCGCTCGCTGGGGTTTTTCTTTCTGGGGTGGCCGCGTGCTCAGCAGCAACACGATGCAGCTGAATTCGCTGACTTCTTGCTGCCCAGGGTGGTCACAGATAGAGGGGAATCTTGGTGTGGCCGGTCTCTCGAAGAGGCCGGCCTCAGGGTTACTGAACGGGGTCCCCTAAGTCGCTGCCTCCCCCTGCCAGCCATGCCCCACTACTCGCCCGACATACAGGAGCTGATTTTGCACTGGCATCGCCAGCAATCTCTACATGCTTTTGTGGAGGCGCCAGCGTGGGTTCACATCCAACTCCCGAGGTTTCAATATGAGCGAGCAAACATTGTCAAAGTGCACCACCCTTTCCTGCTGCCAGGAGAACTACAGTTTCCAGTCTTTCAAGATGCAACTTCTATGTCGGTAGCTTGGGAATCATATCAGGTGGTAGCCATCATTCGTCACCATGGTGACAACCCGCGCTCAGGCCACTACACAGTGATGGTGAGGGACTGTTCAGACTTCGTGCTCGACGATGATGCGGAGCCAAAAATAGCAGACCAGGGGATCAAAGATGACACATCAACTTCCATGTACATTGTGGTAGCATGTCGTTGCAACAACCCCAGTGTGAGCCGTGCCATCCCGAACCCTCTCGCTAGCCCACATCCTGCCGTGCCTCGTGACATAAGGGCTCATGGATCCTCCCCCCTGCCGTCACGAGTTGTACACGCCTCGCGAAGTCCGCGAGAAGTACACACCACAGGAAAGGTGGCTCGCAAGTCAGCTCACCTTACTGGACATGTGGGCAAGGGAGATGAGCCGCGATTTTCACCTCCTGCAAGACCGAATGGATCACCTGGCGATGATGATGGACCGCATCATCCTGCGTCTCCCTCAAGGTCTTGTGGCCCCAGGCAGAAACAAAGTGCAGCCACCAGCACCACCCAGTGAGCTGGATACTCTGGATGATTGAATCTTAGGAAGCCTAGATGCCCGCATGACTCTCCCTCTTTTCTGTACATTCTCAGGAGAGCTCTGCAAGGGGTTTTTTAAAGAAGGAGCTGAACTTGCTTTCAGTGATCCCAAGCTTTCTCATGGTTGACATGCTCATACGTAGCATACGTGCTGCCACCTCGGAGTGGCCGGGCCGAAGGTCTTGTTTAGCACCCGCTAGTAGATTCGAGACTTCTACTGCGCACGAAGAAGAAGAGGTGCTGGTGGTGGTGGTGCTGGTGGTGGTGCTGGTTGTGGTGCTGGTGGT